CCGCCGGGCGGCTCGGGGCCCCGACGCCCACGCGCGTCTTTTTCCTGAAAGACAGAGCGGCTTGGTCGCCGCCCAAGTTCCCCCTCCCCCGTGTCTGGCTCCTCAGCGACAGCGACAGCCCCTCCTACGAGTCCCGATCGGCCGGGGAGGGGGAGGAGCCTCTCCTGCTGGAATGTCGCCCCGGGGTGTGCCAGGGCGTCACCCCAGGTTCCTCGGGGTCAGTGACGAGCCCCTCCCAACCTCCAGTCATCTCCATCCGGCTGCACCGCAGGCGCCTCGGTTTCCCGAGCCCACTGTCACCGAGCAGGAATGGGTGTCCAAAGTAGGGACCCTTCGGAGAGAGAGGCCCCGCTTCTAGGGGGGGCAGAGGAAGAGAAGGAACCCCGTCACTTAAGGCCGCAACCCAAATCAAAAAAGGGGGGATGTCCACACGTGCTTCACCAAACACAAGAGCCAGGGATGCAGAATGAACCTGGACCCAGCGAGAGGCGCTGGCCGGCTGGGGGCGCCTAACGCGGAGGCTGGACTCAGTGGAGCAGCGGGCGAGGTCCGCCACCGCGGGGCGCGCGGCCCGTGCGTGGACGGCGACACCGGGAGCCCCCGGCGCTCCTCCGCCCGTTGCACCCGCTTGGCTCTATCGCGTCGTCGCCCTGGGACTCCGTTTCCCCGTCTGCAAAGTGCGGGCGTTGGGCGAGGGGTTGTCTGATTCTCGCTGCCTTTCCCGTCGGTACCGAGCAGAAAACAAGTTCCGCTGGCTGCCCCCCCACTTTCCCCTGACTTCCCAGTGCGCGCCCCGCTCCGGGCGCACCCCCGGCTCACCCGCGGTGGCCTGGGCGCCGGCCGGTAATTGAGGGCTGCGCCTAAGGCGCGGATTTCTAATTGGTGGTTAGGTCCACAGCCGCTTTTAAGAGATTCTCGCTTGACCTGAAACTGGACCCGGCTGTAACCGGCAGAGCGAGCCTCGTCGGGCCGCTTCCAGCAGACCAGCAAGCCCATCGGTTCTCTGTCTTTCCCAGAATTGCGAAGATGCGCCCCCCACCCCCCCGCCGGCTCTAATCAGCAGTGAGCTCGGAAATCGAAATTTTAAGTTATTACATGAGCAATAATCATTCATCTGACCAAACCTCTCTGCAGAATACAGAAGAGCCTCGCTCATCCACCCCTCTGGGTACTGAAATATGATTTGGCTCTTTCCCCAGCCCTGCGGGAATACTCTGTTGCTTCAAATATGCCATAGCTGGAGATTTTTTTAATTTTTGCTTCCGGTTTATTAGCTGTTTGGGTCTGCATTTTGTGGTTGCTGCTGTGGTTTTCAATCCACCTATGGCTTGTGTCTTGGGTGATATACTAGATGAAATTTTAGGGCAACAGAGATCTTGATTAATTCACAATTAAACGACTCACTCATCGGATAATCTATTTAGAGCCAGCTACGTTAAAAACAATGCTAAGCTGTGTCTTAAAGGAATGCTACCAATTTGCATTAACAAATACAATATATATGTAATTAAATGATATAAAATGTTATGATAACCACTGTTATTAATACTAAATTATTAACTATGTGGTGGGTTGAATAGTATCCCCTCCAAAATTCACGTCCACCTGGAACCTCAGAATGTGGCCTTATTGGGAAATAAGATCTTTGCAGATACAAGGTAAGGATCGAGATGAGATCATACTGGACTAGGGTGGGACCTAAACCCAAGGAGAGTGTCCCTATTAGAGATGATTTTTTAGTGCTATATGACAGGAAAGAGTTCTCAAATTCACTTGTGAAGAAAGGGAATAATTGGCTCATGTAATTGAAACCCCTGGATAGAACTCTCTGGCTTTAGGCAAAGCTCAATCTAAGATTGCCAATAATGTAACCAGAATCTAGTCTCAGATGGGCTCTGCTGCTTATACTGGCTTTATCCTCAGATTTCCTCTGGCTTCCAGCAATTCAGGTTCTACATTCTCTTAGGTTTAAGTCTAACCAAAAGATGTGAGTAACTATACAGTCAGGCTCAAGTCAGAAAACATGAACCACCGTAGGTACTTCAAAAAGAGGAAATTTAACACAGGAACTTGGTTTTGGAAGAGACGAAAGCACTGAGACAATAGGAGCAGATGAGACAACCCAGAAATGAGCAACACTAGGAAGCCACTACACTTCTAGGGCCCAGAAGTTCAAAAGAGAAATCCAGAAGGCAGGGCCGTCAGCAATAGGGTTGGGTTTGTGCAAGAGGAGATGCAGTCATTACCAGAGATGCCCGTGAGGCAGAGATAGCCCCCCAGGATACCCTGTGTTTTCCCTTTCTGTCCTTCAGTCTCCCTCCCATGCCTTCCTTCCATTCATGGAACCTGGCCACAGCTAGCTGACAGGGGAGCCTATAAAATGCAGGGTTAGCCCTCCTTCTGGCCCAGTATGAGCAGAGGCAAGGGGAGGAATGATCTGAAATGCAAATAGGATATATTACTCAGGTTTTTGCTGTGATCATGTATATAATGAACAACTCCCAGTGGCTTACAGTAACAAACATTGATTTTTCTTGCCTGTGGGTCTGCAAGTTAGCTCACAGCAGAGGGGAAGGGCATGGCTTCATGCTCTATGCTGGGTTTAGGCCTGTTCCTTCTGTCATTCTGGGACTTGCAGTTATCCAGGGCCTCCCCTTCTCATGGCAGATGGCAAAGTTCAAGAGCAGCAAGCAGAAGCATGTGATGTCCTTAAGGCCTCGGTCCAGAACTGGCAAATGGGCACTTCCGCCCACAGCCCACAGCCCACAGCAAGTCACATGGACAAGCCCAATATCAATGGGCCGGGGACAAATATTCTGCCTACTCTTAGGAGAGGCTCTGCAAGTTCACCAGGCAAAGGGGCGCAGGGCATGTAATTCTATTACAGCAAAAGAGTAAAGAATTTGGAACAATAGGACAATACACACACAAGCAAATGAACAGCACTGCCTGCCTCCTAAATTTACTCCAAACAAAGTATCTCATTTTCTCTGAACGGATCACCTGCCCAATCCTAAACCATTCACTCTGACCTCAGGTGTGTGATGCTCGATTGGTTATGCCTGAGTCAGATTTCCAGTTCTGCTTCTGTGATATTCTGTATCAACGATATGCATTTTCTGACCTTAAGCCAGATTCCACCATATTTCTTCATGGGTATGATATCCGATTACAAACTCTTACTGTTCTCCCCTTTATCACGCTCTTTCACTTTTTCCTAAAGTCGCACAAAATTTTTTTTCTGATAAAAAAATTCATTAGTGAACTGTTTCTGCTCACAGTTCTGGCACCAAATATATGGTTTTTTCCCACACCAACAACCAGTTCTTACACAAAATGGGTGTCTTACAAGTCACTTTAATTCTGACACTAACTACCCAGAGTTAGTCCAGACCCCACAGATTAAGGGCCCAGTCCCACAAAACTGCTCCTGCCCCCCACGTCTCAGGTACTTGTCCCCGCCTGTACTTTTGATCAACTATCTATAATCCAGGGGTTCCCATGACCCCATTCTCAGGTTCAATTATTGGCTAGTATGGCTCATAGAACACAGGAAAACAGTTTACTCACCACTACAGGTCTATTATAAAGAATACAACTCAGGAACAGCAAAATAGAAGGGGCATAAAGTAAGGTATGGGGTGGGGAGGCTGGGGGTAGGAGGAGGGCGTGGAGCTTCCATTCTCTCCATCACATCACCCTCCTCACACTTGATGTGTTCAACCCAGAAGCTCTGCAAACCTCATCATTTAGGGATTTTATGGAAGTTCCACTACATGGGCCTGATTGATTAAATCACCAATCATTGGTGACTGACCATCATTGTGGGCACCTCTCCCCTCCCCAGGGGTCTGGGATGGGGCTGAAAGTTCTGGCCCTCTAATAACACAGTCAGTTCCTCTGGTAATCAGCCCCCATCCAAAAGCACGCAGAGGTCCCCAAAGAGTTACCCTATTGGCATAAACACAGGTATTAGATGAAGGGAACTTGTTATGAGTAATGAAAGATGCTCCTATCCACTTGGGAAATTCCAAGGGTTTTAGAGGCTCCGTCAGAAACTGGGGACAAAGACCAAAAATGTATTTCTTATTGTATCAGTTAGTTTTCCACATCAGAAACATTATCTGCTCCTACAAACTCTTAATCGCTTGACTAAACCCAGACACATGGGATTAACTCCCAGCTCTGTGTGTCTGCAGTGGCCCCCTCAGTCCCAGCTTGTTTCCCACCACTTTCCCCACAGACGCCTGGTGATCTGGAGACCACACTCGGTTCCCCAGATGGGATCCACTCCTTCAGGCATTGAGAAGTTTAATTCTATGTTTTAAATGTCTTTCCTCCCCTGGTGAGCTTGTAGTTTATCAGCTAAACCCCTTCAGAGGGCAGGTACCGGTACCTTCATTTTCCAGTGGTAAGACTGAGGCTTAGAAACGGACTGTGCATCCCGTCTCTCCCTCCCCTAGATGACTCGTGGTCTTTTAACATCTGTACAACTCCCACCCCCCTCCTTTTGCTCCTGCCACCCCTTTTTGCTTTAAATTCCCTTCCCTCTTACCCTGAGCCATGCGAGTCCTGGCTGTCCTTCCAAGCCCAGGGGAAGTGCCACCTCCTCTATGAGACTTTCCCGGTTGAGTCCATACAACATTCCCCTGTAGCTCTTTGTAAGCCCCTCCAGGCAGTCACTGTGTCTTAATCATCTTTGCATCGTCCCATGGAGTTCAGCAAAAGAATCGAGTATTTAGTGGGGATACAAGTCTTTGCTGTTGTAGCAGATGAAATCCAACAGATGTAGCCCCAACTCACTCCCTTTTCCATTGACCAGCTATTTTTAGGGCTTCAGGGTTGTCCCAATATTTTAATACAAAACAAAACAAAACCCACAAAAATTTTCTTGCCAAGCAAGCTCCATTTTGGCTGACTTCAGGAGAAAGGCAGATATAAGCCCATGACTTATAGAAGGTGTTTTATTGTGTTCACCAGAGGATAATGGGGGAAGAATGCAACAGTGTAACAATGAAGGAAGGAAATGAACTAATTCCTGCTTTGGGGGAAGCAGACAACAGCTGTGCACCCGGCTGAAGGAGTGTTTTCCAAAAGCGAAACAAAACAAAACACACACAAAATGATTGCTTATATGCACTGAAACCAACAGTGAGCACTTTTAATAGAGAAAAGGGTCTGTCCCATCACTGGGCTTATCTGCATACTCTGAATGTGTAACCGCTGCCTCAGGACCCTGACTATGAGAAGTGTTGCCCCTGAAAGCACAGCTAATATGCTTGGGGAATATTTTATGTGATAGTCGTTGACTTTTCCGTATGTTATTCTCTTTGAACTTCAAAGAAAATGAAATGATCAGAGGGCTCCTGCCAATGAATGAATATTCACCAGGGCTTCTCCAGGGATGAAAAATGCACCATGTGTGTTGTGAGAGTTTATCTTTTTGTAAATTATACCCTCGGGCTCCACAGGATGCCATTCATCATTTAAAGAAATAAGAGTTTGTATATTTTTTTTTCAAATTCCGTTCCCAAATAAAAGCCTGTTGCCATTATGTTCAGTTTATTGCCAAAAGTGCACACCGTTTAATAAAATATATGCAATAAGGGAAGATGAGCACACTGAGATTTTTTTTCCCCTCTATTTCAACAGATAGAGCTGAAGGAAGGACCAGTTTAATTAGGCAAACAGGGCAAGCCAATTAGAATAAAAGATTCCCTGAAGCCGTGTCAAATACAAAGTGGAGAGAGTAATTCTACCTAGCCCCGTATTTACAACTGTGGGAGTTACATAATTACTGCATAAATATTTGTCGAAATTCTTGTGTGAAACTGGGTACAAATGAAACAAAGGAATGTTACACATCAGGAGGAGAAGAGAGGGCCGGCCTCCGCCCCGGCGATGCCGGTCACTGCACATCCCAGATTTCGCAGAGAAGCGGGGTGAACTTGTGGTCGTTGACCCGCCACGACATCAGCATCTCCGCGTGGTGATGGTTGAACGTCCGCAACTCCGTCAGGCGGCCCAGGAGACAGGCGAAGTGTTGAGGGTTTTCGGGCTGGTGGATCTTGCACAGCTTCTGCAGCACTTCGAGCAGCGGCTCCTGAAGCTTCTCTACGGCCTCTCTGTCCTTGATGTATTGTCTGTCTGTTTTGAAGTTGAACAGAACACGGCAAAATGAAAAAGTGGAAGGTGTGGCACAGTCATAGTAAGGCTAACCTTTGAAGCGTAACTCACACGTGGTGACAGTTGACATGTACAAGTGAAGTGTTCGACTGGATTAATTTTCACACATGCACATACATATATAATCACAACTAGGTCAAAATGTAGAAAATTTACTGCCCTCAGAGGCCTCCCTAAATTCCCCTTCCAGTGAACGCCCCCAAAGTATTCTGGTGAACGTAAGTATCATTCCTGGTGGGTACAGCCCAAGGACTGGAATTGCTGAGACGTAGGGTTTGTACATGTGTCACGTTAGTAGGTACTGCCAAAATGTTTTTCTTCTTTCTAATTATAATGTTTTATGGTACAGCAAAGTAACAACTAGTTTCTGACTTGATATCCTGTATAAAATGGTTTAAGGCCACAAGTTATGAATGTGGCATCGCTTACTCCCAAATAATTAAGCAAAAAAGTATATAGAAAAACACACGTACAGAGGTATTCATTTCAACATTGTTGAAAACAAAAAATTGGAAACATTCTGAATCTCCAAATAGATGGTAAAAACTAAGTAAATGATTGGTCATCAGTACAATGGAGTATGATGCATGTAGTACAATATACTTTTACCAGTATAATTTTTTAATGACATGGGGAAAGACTTTTGAAGAAAAATACACTTTTTAAAAAGGCAGTTATATTTTCTCTTATGTTAAAAAGTACGTCATTTCATTTAGGTCCCTGCTCAAATAACCCCTTAGAAAAGCCTCCCCTGACCACCAATTAAATTAACATCTACCGCCACTTTCTTGCCTTATATTCTTACCTTTATATTTTTTGTAGCATTTACCACCTCAGTAATTGCCACAAATTATTTTTATTTGTTTCTTCATTTATTGTCTTTCGTACCCTACTAGAATGTAGTGAGCTCCCTGCAGCTGTGTCCTGCCTCTTTCCTCACTGCTGTATCCCCCAATGCCCAGAGCCATGTTTAGCGCGTAGTAGGTATTAAAAAGCATTTAGTAAATGAATGTGAGGTTTAGGAAAAAGTCTAAGAAGAAATACACTGAAATGTTAACGTGGTTCAATTTGAAGTCCATTTTGCTTTTTGATGTTTCCGTGTTTCCCAGGTTTTCTTTCATAAACATTGTTACGACGATACTGGGAAAAATGCACAAATTGCATGACACTGAAAATGTAACATCAGAATTACCTGGAGAGAGGATAACAATGGCCGTAAGCAGAGCATACTCTTCCTGAGTCATTCTCAATTCTGCCACGCTTTTATAAAAACTAAACATCGGCGTTATATACTCATCAGAAATACCTGCGGGGGAAACTCGAAAAACGCAGAGGCGTGGTCAAGTGGCTGAATAACTGAAAAGTGTAATATTACAAACAGATCAAAACACACACACACGTTGATATTTGCACCCATAAGCACACATTTAAATAACGACTGTATATTATACGTTCCAGCCACAGGCAGGGCAAAGGTCAGCTAACAAAGTCCTCAAAATATAACGAAATCAATGATTTGTGTGTCTTTTCATTTTGGCTGTGCCTTTGTTTTAGTCACTACTGTCTCTGACAATGATGATGTTCTTGAATTGCCAAAAAATCTCTCAACTTCACCATTTTCTAGATGGGGTTTGTTCTTCTTTTTAATATTAAGATCTATAATCAAGGCACAGATAGTATCTTAAATAACTCGCCCCAAATTATTGTTCTTCAGCCCAGAAGTATAAACAGCTCCACTTAATAAGGGTTAGAGTTCTCATCAGAGTCCGGATCTCTCCCTGAATTGTCAAACCTGTTTACCCCCCCC